GTATGCCCCGAGAAGTATTATTAACATTGATCGAGTGTAACAACAGAGTATACAGATAAGGTGTTATCATTTAAACCCTTTCAAAGATAAACACTATGCAAATATCCACGAAACGGCAGTTGTAGTCTTTTCTGCTAGTGTTTTAAAACACTAATTTGAGCAACCTTATTTTGCAATTTCGATCTTTTGTATACCTGGGGTGATGTATCAAGGTAACCGTTTTATCAATTTTTGAAAAATCAAGAAAAAAGTGAAAATTTCCCTTCTCGCTACCTTAACATTGATTGAGTGTAATCTTTGTTTATGTCAATCGCTTTGAGATTGACAACAGTGAAGTTAAAGGAAATAGCAGGATAACAAGTTTAATATGGAAAATAAATATTCTGTAATTTCATATTGATCATTCTTGATAGCCTAAGACCTGTCACAGACTGCGGCTATGTTAAGCAATTATCATTGACAACGCATACATTGTGTGGCTCATTTAAGCCAAATTATTTAACTCACAATATACTTCATGACTGTAAATGTGATTTAAAAAATGCGTGACGGTTTTAGAACACTACTTGATAATTCTGGTCATATTTCATACGTTTTTTTTTCAAAATTAAACAGAATACAAACGCGACTTTGATGCAATTTCTTTTAAAATGTAAAAAAATGCAACACTAGTTTCCAAATAGCTCTCATACAAGTTTTAGTTCATTGTAATTGGAAATGCTAGCCTCAACCGACTTTATTCAAACTTGATAGATTCTTCACATCTACATGTGGGAAAAGTTATCAACAAATCCATTCTTACCATTAACATGGCAACGGACAACAAAATAATTGTTAGAATTCATAAACGGATTGCAAATCAGGCTACCAGTTGTTCGTATTTTCATTTGATATGTAGGTTTGGCATAGGGTACAAAAGACTGGCATGTTTGTATGTGGTACTGAAAATATTTTCCAGTATGCAAACAATTGTAAATTTTCCAAAGTTTGAAAATTGTTAAATTCTATAAATATATCATTTGCATGTCTAAATCTTTATAGTATGTAGCAATACAATTGTTTTAGTTGTCTGTTCTTTACTTATACTGTGTTAAATCACTTTAAGAGTTATTTTCCTTGTGGGACCCAACAATTTCAACTTCATTTGTCCTTGTTTAGTTTGTTTGTCTTGAATTGTATCAAGAAGTGTTTTAGTGTACTTGCAATAGACTTTACTTGATGGTGCACTATTGCTTGCATTTATGTTGCGAACAAATAGCATAGCGCCGGTCGGCATTTTTTATTCTGGTCGGAAATTCTGAATGGCGGTTTCTAGCAGCAAGCGTGGGCAGATTTTTGAAAAAATAACGAACGAAGAAATCAATAGGTAAAAAGGTGTTTGAGTAATATTCTCAAACATAAAACGCAACTGGATGTGTTTTTACTAAAATAAATGAGTTTGCAATCGACCAATACACTCACGTGACACTACTTTCCCGATTTAGGTGCGTGCAGGGAGCTGGTTCGTGTAAACTACTTCCTTGGGAAGCTACTTTCATTTTAGCACCCCAGGCCACGACACCAGATCTATTCACACTACTTGCTGAGACTTCGTACTTGATATGGTTGCGCATTTGTCGTTATTTTGTGCAAAGTAATGACTAACGAAACAGCGTTAATTTTTGACATAGAACAAAGGGAGATAGAACAGTGGTGGACTAATTAGAATAGCAGAACCAATCCTTTGTACTGACATTTTGTGGTTCTTTGATAAGACCGATATAAAAAATAAATGTAGTAGTCCAGATAATCGCGGTGTCGTAATTAATCAATATATACGTTAAGACAAAACATCTATTCCCTTTTATACTTGATATATATACAATTAAAATATATAAAAATATTCTGGTTATTTGAGCTCCCCAGACCAATACTTGCTTTAACATTGGTCACGTGAGTGATGTGATCATGTGACCTGGCGCGTCATCTGACTTCATATTACGCCCTGAGCGTAACCGTCAGCCGGAAATGATACATTTGTTGTCCATTCAGTTGAACGTAATTCAACGACAATTTCTGAAAAAAAAACACGCAGATTTACCTTCAACGTTTATAACGTATACTTCTAAATAACCGCTGATTAAGTTGGACGGAAGAAACGTAAATGCAGAAATATACACCAACTTACGTTTCCGGCGTATTTTTGTGTTCTTCCACGTCATGTACGCAGAGTACGCCCATTGTAAATTACATTTATTTTGATGTTTTCCGGGAACTGCCTCATAATATTTATCCGTACATGGTGTGTATAACCGTTTACAATTTAAAATGTGCATTAGCTATAAGAGTTGCCAAAATATAAAATTAGTCCGAATTCGTATATAGCTTGTTTTTAAATTGCTCGTTAAGTACAATTACTCACGCATCATGATACTGCCATCAACGACAAACAGTTGTGGCTTGAAGAGTGATGTACCCCCAGACGTGATTAGCTCTAATACACCACGCTTCTTGTACGCCTTTATTAAATACATTTTATGAGATTTAAAAAATCTAAAAAAAGTCTAGTTGGGCTATGATAGAATGAAGTTTCATCATATTTTATGTTTTGGGCCGACTTATATTTGTCATACGTTGGTTCACAAGTAATTCATGGCAAGACTGGTCCAACCGCAGTTTCATCAAAATTCGGCGACTTGTTATCCGGCCCGTCTGGTGTGAGCCGAGTCGTGGACTATTGTTCGTATTCTACACGTCATGACCACAGAGAATCATATTTCAGAGCCTCCAAAGTGTTCTCTTATTCCTGATTTCAATCGCAAAACAGAGGGACACTTCCTGACATTCACCCTAAGAACGAAGCAAATATCCGAAATGTGTGGGATCGAGAGCTTATTGAAACAAAAGACAACCCGGAAGTCGATGAACTGTTTGGAAACCTACACAGACTCGTATCTTTCGATCGATAATGGGAAATACACTGCCAAATTACCTTGGAAAAAAGATCACCCACCATTACCGACAAACTATGACGTGACAACACGCCGCACACGGAGTATGATTCGTCAACTCACCCCGAAACTTATCGCAAAATACGATGACATTATTAGCGAACAGAAACAATGCGGTTCCATTTCTGAGGTCAATTACCCCGATCCAGATATCGGACACTATTTACCGCACCGCGCCGTTAAAAAGGATTCTGCAACAACCACTTTTCGTATTGCATTACGCTTTTGACACCGCCGTAAATGAGCCATGGAGGGCTTAAGTAGTCATTTTACGCTTGGATTATATTCCCTCGTATCGGAATATTGTTACGGGCGACAATAATACTGGTTCTGACCCAGTTTTGGACGATATTGGCATACGTTGTGGATATAAATAACTATAACAAACTGGATAAATTACTACGAATAACCGCATACGTACTTTGATTTGTAAACAAATTAAAGAGGTCACCAAACTATAACAACATTCAACTGTCTGCCGAGAAGAGATGAACCACTGACCTACAACGCTCTAATTATAGGAACGTCGTACATTCTCTCCGAATACGCGATCGTAAACATGCCCCAATTGTTCAACAGTTGAACTTGTTTCTGGTTAACGAAGACATCCTGCGATGTGATCGCCGCATACACAATGCACCGTTAGACTTTGTTACGAAATTCCCTGCTTTACTGCCTCCATATCATAAGTTTACAAATCTTGTAATTATGAAAGCTCATGAACTACTCATACACGAGGGGTCCAGTCTACAGTGACCCATAATTCGCCAACGTTACTGGATGTGATTGTGATAACGTCGGGTAATTTAGAACTTAGCAATTTAATTTTCGATAACCGTGAATGTGTATCTAATTTACGTAATATGCAGCATTTTTACTATCGTCTAGAAGGGGTCCCGGTGTTTGTGACTGGTGTAAAAACATCACGTTCCGTAATATCGTGATCACCAGCAAGACCGACAACGTGACGGCTATCAAATAACACCTTTAAAAATCGTCGCTAATTCGGGCCTCACTTACCGCGTATTCGATATTTCGCAGTGGTTATAACCTAACATATTCTATAGCATTCATGGAGAGTCTGATAGTGTCAGCATCAGTCGTTGCGAACTGGTTGCCGACTGGTTGATATACGGACTTTTCGGGCTGATAATTTCGATAGTTATTTTCGTTGGATCTCATGCTGTTTTAATCTTTTCACATTGCGGTACGTACAACCGAGTACACGCGTGGGAAATGCGAACCCTTTCACGCAAGGGACTATAGTCCCGAGAGACTGTCCACGTCTGCAGGGTTCTAGTTGATATGAATAATTGATAGTTGATGCTGACGTCACAAAATAAATTATATTAACATAATGTATGGAAATTTATTCTAAATGACCCGCGTTGGTTGTTCACGTTATGAACACAATGAATACAGTCACTCCAACCAAAATAGCAAAGCAAAATATTAAATCGCCTTGAACCAAGGAAACATCGTGCATTGTTTGTGGCAGTCAAAATGAAAATATAGAAAACTGGAAGAGACTGTTTTGCGGGATCGACAGAACTACGACATGCGAAGAAATCGAATTTGTTGTGGCAGAGACGATCGATCTCCATCTTGCCAGTTCGTATGCGTGCAGAATATGTGATCTGAGAGCGTCGATTCTGCATAAAAACATTCAGGAAGAAATTTCAACAAACTAAGCAAGAGTCATTGGAAAGGCTCAGACATTTTTCTCTAAGGGAATTGCAGCTGAATGTCCTAGTTTCGAAACGAGTTCTTTTTTAGAAGAGGAATGCTAACATGGCACGCTGACAAGTACATCTCTCCCATCTGTGTAGTTTGCGATAGTGTCTCGCTTGGTGTAGTTGACTTTTTAGAGGTCAGGGCCTCATAGGCTCAGAGCCTCAGAGGTCAGGGCTCAGAGCCTTAGAAACTGAGTATCAAAGAATAATATATAATTAATATTATAATTTTAAATATTTGAAACATCATAATCCACGTCTTAATGATCTCCTGACTTGAACAATAAAATGTGGGTAAAATGTATTTTTGTATATGAACGATCGTATCGGGCGTATTTGGTGAATGTACTATGGTCACGTAAAGTAGTTCTTGCATTGTGCAGCGATTTTGTGTATCATTAGATACTTGCTGCATACATTTCAGATGGATGTCATATCATGTGTGATTTTTAAAAGCCTGACATCTCTCGCCACTGTGTCGTGATACTTTTGAGTCTTCGAGACGACGACGATACTCACAATTATTTCCCGGTAAATCAATGCGCGCGTTGTGCGTCTTTTTGCTGTTTGAACAGAAGACGTCCACATGAGCCGACACACACATAGAGGTACATCAAGAAGTTCAAGGTATGCCAATTTTATAGTGTCAATATTTATGCCAGCCTCCCTGAACACCAGTGTATATTTTGATGCTGATCCGACAAGAATATTTTAATGCATGCAAGCACAAGCATGTTCGTCAATATTTTTTTGCCACATGCTCCAATTGGAGTTGACAAATCGACATGCTCTTTCACGTTCGATTTGAAAAACGTACTTTGCTTGATGTATATTTTGATTCCCTAACACTGTAAAATAAGCATATGTACTTCTAAAGGTAGGACTTGTCCGTATATTTGACAAACTGTCCAGTAAATAATCCTGTGGTAGCGCCACAAAGCATGGTCATTTGTTTATTTTCTTGTGTACATATCAGATGCTTTCATTTTCCGCATGGAGAGAAGACTATGTCCAGATATACTTTTATCTATGTAGCACTATAAATAAAAGGGTTTCCCCATTTGTTCAGATCAATTGATGCTGGTTGCTATGGTAACTGTATTGCCAACTTAGATTTCAATGTTTTTTTCTGCATTTAGTCAGTCATATGAATATAATTATCAATTTCTTCTGATCTGGAAATATATATTACATACACAGTCTAGTCCAATTTTGCACAATACATTGATGGCACGAAAAAATAACCAAACAAATCATTGTAAGACTAGTACGTATGCAGTGATTAATTTTATGCGAAGGTTCTGACTAATGTATAAGTAATTTAAAGGATCATTACATGTCAAACTTGTATGATGTTGAGTTTTTTGTTTTTAGATGTATCCATGTCCTATGAAAGGTTGTAGCAGTTCATCATTCTGAGATGAGAATACGCTGATGACACATGTGGCATTGTTGCATTCTCCTTCAAAATACATGAATTGTCCAATATGTCAGAAAGATGTTGATTGTGAGTCAGAAATATCTAAGCACTTTAGTTTAATGCACCCATCCGCACCAATGACAATTAAATCAGAGTCAACTGACATGAAACGAAGGAAAGACCTGGACAGTACAGTGATTGACCTGACTTTTTCTCCCGATAATGGTCTGGAAATCACAGGAAATCCTGCATCTCAGGTTTGTATCAATGTTGTGTGATTTTCCCTATTCGGACAAAGTCAGAAACAGGCAGTACTTTCATGATCAGCATTTCTAGCTCAAAAACTCTAGCTCATTCAAGTAGTAATGGAATCATTGACATAATTATTTTTTTTTATTTTTGTTGCTTTTTGTAGATAAATGCACCAGCCACTGTAAAAAGAGAATTTTTTTCAAACGAGGAAATGGATGATATGCATGCCAAATTACTTACTGATATGAAAAAAATATGGCTGACTGCTGGCCATTTTGAATTTTAATGAATGCTATTCCAGACTAGTGGATGAAGTCCAAAACGGGGCATCTGTCTGTGCATGCGTCTATTCGTCCGAAACTGTATCTTGAATATCCCTGGACTGATTCGTTTCAAACTTTGTACATACATAGTACCTTATCTGGGACTTGTGCAGATGCAATGATTTAATGATTGGATCGAAGATGGCCGACTGGAGGCCATCTTGTTTTTTTGAAAACATGATATGCTTTGTCAGTTTTCATTCAAATTTGGTACATGAGGTATGCATGTCAATATACTTGTCCATTACAATTTGTTTCACAATCAGATCAAAGATGGCCGACTGACAGTTTTTGACAAACATCTTGAGCATGCCTGTAGCAATTAACTTCTATACATATGCATATCGATAAATATTGTATTTTATCAGCTGATAATATGGTAATTAGAATTGTTAACCTATGGGTACTGTGGTTTTATCCTACAAAACTCAGCATATGCCAATGAGCATTTCTGGAATATTTTCAACAGGAGTATCCTAACTATCCTAATATGAATGCTTATTTCACAATGACTAGTTTCTAAGACAGTTTATAGTACCCTACTAGTAATATAAGAAATGGATACAATGGTGTTCATGTGGCAGACATTTGAGTCTTTAACCCTTGACAGCAAAATATTCTTTCCAACTAAAATTTGCTGCAAATGTTTTCACATTTTCGGTAATTTGGACTGCGCAGATACATTCTGACATTAGTATTATTTTTTTGATCAAAAGGTTTGACACGGACACGAGCAGGCCATAAAATAACTATTTTGTCAATGTGTCAAAAGTTGATAGTGACTGCCAAGGGGTTAACAATGCTTCAAAATGCAAGTCTGAATTTAGTCTGTAGGCTTTTGAAAACGCTGTGATTAAAACTACAAAAATCATTTTGTTGCTATGTTTCATTTCAGATTTTGGAGCAATTTTGATCTCCGACAGTGATGATGATGATATTGGTTCTCAGAAATACTGCAATAGTGACAGTAAATTTCCCTGCTATTCCATGGGTAAAAGTCGGAGGTACACGCCAATAGAAGCAGTTCAAATTTTAAAGAAAGTAAATCATCAACAATCTAAGTGTAAGCAGGTACCCCCAACATGTCGAGAGAATGCTGCATTTCTTATGAATCTCAATTCTTTCACTTGTATAGATGACATAAGAAGTGACATGAATGGGACATTTATACATACCCAGCTTATAGGCTGTAGATTGGAGGAGTGTGAAGAGGTTGATACAGAGTTGTAAGTGTATATCCTAAGTGCAAACACGAAAATCAGCCCTGTTAAGGATAATGAATTTCGATTCACATAAATTCAAAAAGAAATTTCATTTGGTAAAGTCATCCTTTTATATGACAGACAAGATAAAAAACCTGTAAATTCAGTCGCACTTCTACAATGCCACATTTATAATGGAGAAACATCAGTAGATTTTGAGGTGCCTACATATGGAGGGAAAGGAAAAAAAAACATTTCACAGTAAACGAAAGGCCACTTCTGCTAAGGCAAAGGAATAA